TAATTAGCTCTTGACTTTAATTCTTCTGACGCTGAAGCCCAGAAAACTGTTCTGAGTGGAATTCTTACTGCCAACTTTTCCAAAAGGCCGAAGCCAGAAACCAGCCAAATAAATGAGGCAGGACCAGTTTTTCTTCCTCCAGCAATACAAAATACAGCCCTAGGCCTGCCTGGGACCTTCAGGGTCAGCCTGATTTCACCTTGGGCTTTAGGACAATGACTTCATGTCTCCTGCCTCATATGATTACACGCAGGAAAGCTCTCTGCATAATCTTTTGGTGTTTCATAAATGCAGGCTCTGTAAATGAGGTCAGGGCTCTGATGCTGTACCTCGTCCAGGGACTGCAGGGCTTGGTCCGTGTTGGGAAATAATTACCTGGCCAGCACTCTGCTATCTGCGAGTGGTCCTTCATAAGGTCAGCCCCGGGCGGGCAGCCTCTGCGCTCCTGCTGCTCTTTTGGCTGGTTTGGCGTTCAGCTCATCGTCAGGACATGCAAGGGTACTTAAAGAAAAAAAAAAAAAAAAAAAGAGGAAATACGCAAAAATAGAGCTGGCTCAATTTGTTCACATTTCAAATATAGATGAATTAACATTCTGCAAAAAAAGGAAAAGAGTGGGTGAATTTGTCTGGATTTTTTAAAACGCTTTTGACCACTTATAGAACTGGCTGAATTTGGAAAATTCCTTCATCTTCGTGGCTTTAACTTTGGGGAAAATGTCGAGACATTCAAGCGTTTTGGTCTTCTTTTTTTTCATTTTCAGCTCAAAAGAAAACCCAAAGGAAGCAGAGTCTTTCTACTCCCACTCCTACCTGTGGGCTCTGATTTTCTGAGGCACAGATGTCATCAAGAAAAGGATGATTTCTTGATTACACAGGCATTTTTCACTTTATCATCTTTCATCCTGTATCAAAACCGAACAGCTCTGTGGGCAGCAGAATGTATCGGCCTTGTTTGCTGTGCTCAGTGCTTCACGGCTGAACGTCCCCTTGTCTGACAAGTGTTCTTGCCGACTGAAGCTTTCCCTGTGGTTAAGATACTCATAATTCCTTTTCTCTCTGTCAAACAATAATTTGGTGCTTCAGCCTCTTTCTGTGCGTCAGTAGTACTCTCTCTAACTGGACAACTCTTTTAATGAAACGTATAGAGACTTGATATTTTTGTAAGCCCAACCTTGGCCAAAATGATGAGCAGTATTGCGGTTGTGTGTTGAGGGGAAGGACTGTAGACTGACCACAAAATCCCCTTTACCTCAGCTCCTTAGAAAAACAACCTAAAAACACGAGTAGGAGCATTACTGGACAAGGAAAAAGCCCTTCACGTTAACACCTTGAAAGATGTCAGGGTTTCCCTAGCAGGAGAGCCTTTCTAACCGAAGAGGATTTTCTCCTGAACCTTCAGTCCCTTCCCCGTGTAGAAGCAGCCTCAACTCTGCCGCTGTGTGGCAGCGCTGAAAAAGAACATGAAAATAAATCACTAATCGGTGAAAAAAATCACTCACTAGTGTGGAGCTCACCCCACCGGGTGAGAAAACGCCGGCTCCGCACTGTGGTGTTGATTTTACAAGCTGGCGTTTGCACCTTCTGACGTCCACCACCAGAACTTCGTCCCACCAGCGGAGCCGGTGTTTTGCAGAAGCGCTTGGGGCTTTCTCGGAGGATGTGGACAGTTACCGGGGTTTGCCGAAAGGAAGGCTGTCGGCAGCCTCACAGCGGTCCTCGAGGCTCAGGAGAGTTTTCACCAATGATCCTACTTTTTTCTTTGAGTGGTGGTGCAATTGGAGGCCAACGCTGGTTGTAAGGGCAACCGTTCTCAGCACAGACCTCAGCAGACAAACCTCTTCCTCCCTGCAAACACCATCACTCAATTTGAACCCTAGCACAGCACCTCCGGCAGGCAGGACCGTGCGTTTTCTCACTTCAGTACACCAGGAGGTGTGGACAAACTCTGCGGTAAGAGAGGACATTAAGGACCTATGGTAAAACTTGTTTAATGTGTGTTGGCCCATAAGTCCCACCACCTGCACAGGGAAAAAGCCAAGAAGCCCAAGGATCTCGCTTTAGATTCAGGACTAAGCAGAGGGGAGCAGTGCCAGGATGGTCTTGGAGACACCTCAGGTTGATCAAGATCAGACTCACAGAGCTCTGCAGCCTCGCGGAGATAAAAGTCCCTGGCGTTGCTCCCGTGGAGCAGTATCATACCGCTAAGGAAGCATGAGGGTAAGAAGGGGATTGGGCTGTGGAGAATAATGGATTAAACCAGTGCTGTCCCCCCACGCTCCACACGTTTCTGGAAGTAAGTGATAAAGCAACATATGCCTCTCCCTAGTAACGAGTGATAGGATGAGAGGGAATGGCCTCAAGCTGCGCCAGGGCAGGGTTAGGTTGGATATTAGGAAATACTTCTTCACCGAAAGGGTGGTCAAGCATTGGCACAGGCTGCCCAGGGAAGTGGTTGAGTCTCCATCCCTGGAGGTATTTAAAGGACGGATAGATGTGGTGCTCGAGGACATGGTATAGTGATGGACTTGGCAGTGATAGGTTAACAGCTGGACTCGATGATCTTAAGGGTCTTTTCCAACCTTGACAATTCTATGATTAGGAGATGTGTTAATTTCTTAAGGTTGCGCAGAGCCATCTCATGTTTGTTCGATTATTAAATCTCTTTATTCTACTGTGAACCTTGAACGATGTGGCAGACATTTCTCCATTCACCTTGGGTGGATTGGCTGGAGGAAGAATGCGTAAAAGATACCGTCAAGGCCGCCTTGTTCTCAAATGCCTCAAAACTTTACAAATAAACAAGACAACGTCAATGTAATAATAATGGAGGTAAAAAGTAATTCACAACAGTTGTTACCCTTAAAATAATTACTGGAATCAAGCGAAGGAGGTATGAAGTCATACTTTTCAGGGTCTTTCAAGCTGTTTCCATAGGGAGCTTGGTGTGCCTTTGAAGCTACTCTTTATCGACAGGGAATGCCTACCAGCTCCTTCCTCCTTGAGCCTGGGGGCATTAAATGGCAAAACCGTTCTTGCTGCCTCACAGTTCCACACGTGCCCTTCCAGGTGGGCCTCTCCTCTGATGTCGTCCGAAGGCTGCGTTGCAATTGCTTCTCTTGTTGCCAGTACCCGTCATGTTTTTTTTCTTTTATTAACCTGCACATGGATGAAATCAAACTCATCTGTTTGGACGCACCGAAGAAAGGAACATTTAATTATCCTCTTATTCAGCCTGAATAAAAGGCGGGATCGTGCTTCTAACCACTTTCCCCAGGATGTAGATCAAAGCAAGCAGTCACCCAACCTCCGCTCCACATGGTAACACAACACATTTGTTTATGAGCTTATCCTTCAACGCATCTTAAATTATGAGGATGTGTACTGCTACCCTGAAGAACCGAAGACAGCTCTTCGCATCTCGTCTCATTACTGATACAGAACGGAGGTATTCTTGGATTATCAATAACAAATTTCAGAAATTATGACTAAAATGGAATGGCAATGAGCAGGGAGAGTGCTGCAAGCAGTGATTTATTACTGAACGCTGAATCAATGAATAACAAGCTTCATCAAGTCCTTAGTAATGCCTTCGTGTTCTTCTACAAGAAGGAACATACACGTTGTACTATAGAGAAGATGCCAAAATTAAAAAAAAAAAAAAAAGGGCGATTTATTTTTTCCTGGGCTGCTCTGATGGCTGCTGCAGACCAGCTCTCTCCACCTGCCAAGGCCCTGAATTGTGGGATATGAAACGATGGCCAAGGCCCCTTTGAAAGGTGCGGGGAAAGCAGCGATCCAGGCAGAAAAGGAGAGAAGAGGACAGCTGGAGAAAACTTTGTGGCAGAGAAACTATGTGCGTATGAGAAAAAGAGGTTCCTTCCCTTGAAAAGCTTAAGGTGTTGATAGACTGCAGTGCACTGATGTGGGATTTGTCCGCTTCTTACCAGTGACCTTTTCCCTGACTTGCTTGAGAACAAAGCACTCAAGTATTAAGTTACTTTCTGCCATAAGTGGCTAAAGATGCAGGAGAGGGAAGCAGGGGTTGGAGCGAGGGAAATCTGTTCCCGCCGTGACCCTGTCCAGCACTTTCCTCACCTCACTGTGGGCCGCAATCTGCCCTGAGAGTCCAGAGCTCGCTCTCCCATTCCTCGGGCAGGAAAATGGGCAGAGGGAAATAACACAGCTGTAGTATTTGCTGTGGCTGCTTTTGCTCTTGTTCACCTGTTTGCTGTCAGGGGGGGAGAGGAGGTGGGGGGAGAAGCGTGCATCAGGCGTGGAGGGCAAGCAGCCTGCGCAGGCCCTCTCGCAATCCAGCTGAGGTGCTGAGCTCCCTGTGGAGATGCCAAACCCTGCACAGCACCAGGGGGAAACAGCGGCTCTCCCGCACGCCTCCGGGGCGGTGCTGGGAGCGGGGTTTGCTGCAGGAAAGGAGCCAGCACACCCCGCCGCCGCCCCACGCCGCCTCTGAGGGACACGGCGAGGGGGCGACGCCCTGGGAGGCAGCGGCGGAGGAACCGGCGCTCCCCATTGGCCCAGCCTTCACGAGTCCCCCACAACTCGACGCTCCATAGGCTGCCGCCCACACTGGGCCCGCCCCCTTCCCCGCCCACACGAGCGGCAGCAGAACCCGCCCTCATGGCGGCGTGAAGGGCGCATGCGCCGAGGCGCGGGGCGGGGTCAGCGGGGGCACGGGGGCCCGGTGGCCCCGCCCTCCCCTTCTCGC